TTCTACCGTAGCAATAGTAACCCTAGCTAGGATAGGGTGGTACTGCTGAGTTAATGCTGTGTTGAGGCTACCCACCTCACCAGCTTCTCTTCAAAACACAAAACACCTAGCTGCCCAGAGCACCTGCTCACCTCTTTCCACTCTGCTAAACAGCATCCCTATTACAAATGAGGACATAATTCTGGGTTGCTAGACTCCCTGTGTCTAAATATCACAACTAAGAGGTAGCATATGTCTTTACCCTTTCTGGAAAATATGAGTGGGAACTAAATTCTGGGCAAAGCAATACCAAGCACTGAAAGTCTCTGGCCTCCCCAGAGCCAAATCACAATGGCCCTATACACACCCCCAATCCCATGCCTGAATATGGAGTATGGGTATCTTCTCCTCAGTCCAACCTCCCTAGTAGTCCCATTTAATTTCTTGGAAAATGTTCAGAGCCCAACAGCACACAGAAGCTGGATAATGCATCCATCCACAATGCCTCTGCTTCCAGGAACGCACTCAATAAAAAAGAGCCATCACATAATCATGTTCAAAGAGTCACAGAGAACAGAAAAAAAGAAAGCTCAGGCAGGGTGGCTTGGTATCAAGTCCATTTGTAGACTGAAGCTAGAGATGAATTCCCAAAGCAAAGACAATGCCCCATCATCACTGCTGACTCCCACCATGACATAATCTATTTGTAAAATGTTGCTTTGAAATTCAAGTATTTAACATTTTTATCCTATAAGTCTCCCTATCAATGTAAACATTAACATCAAATTCCCAGCCAGTTATTCACACTTTTAAATGCCATTTAAACACTTTTTAAAAATGAACAATTTGTGAAACTTTTAAAGTAGAACTTCAATTTAAGCCAGGTAGTGGTGATGCACACCTTTAATCTCAGCTCTTGGGAGGCAGGAGGCAGGCAGATCTCTGAGTTTGAGGCCAGTCTTGTCTAAAGAGAGTTCCAGGACAGCCAGAACTACACAGAGAAACCCTGTCTTGAAAAAGCAACCCTCCCCCCAAAAAAGGAATTTCAATTTAAAACCATAAAGAAAAAAGGTAATTTATCTTTTGAGTTCAGTCATTTAAACCTTAGCTCACCAAAATCCATTGTGCTGTCAACTAATACTATAAGTTTTAGAAAAAGGCAGTATGGGTGCTGGAGAGATGGCTCAGTGGTTAAGAGCACTAGCTGTTCTTCCAGAGGTCCTGAGTTCAATTTCCAGCAACTACATGGTGGCTTGAAACCACCCATAATGAGATCTGATGCAGTCTTACGGCCTGCAGTTATACATACAGGGAGAACACCATATACATAATAAATCAATAAAAAAAAAGTGATAGGCAATATGAAGTCAGGATGCAGATGAGCAACAGGCTGGTCTATGGGATTTGACTGACATATCCTAACAACCGCCAACTGTGCTAAAAGACGAGACATGATATATTAGCTAAATCAGGGATGATGCTATTTCCACCAAGCTTTTTCCACAACATCAGTTTTGGGGCAGTTATTGCCATGCATCAACTGGCTAAAGCAAGTTACAAAAGAAAAGAGAGAAAACACAAGGGCATCCAACTTTGCAGTTTTGAACTTTGGCACTGAGAAATCCAGGAAGTGGCTACAGCCATTTTTCCCAGAAGGTAGGAGCACACATTATTTTGCATACACTTTCAGGAGAACTTTGATACCAGGGAGCCCATTCAAGGGTCCTAAGTTGAAAAGATGGCCTAAATAAAGGTCAAATTACAAAGTCAGTTCTATCACTACCAGGAGTTGAAAGGGTCAAAAGAAGCCACTGTGCAACAAGTCATTTTATGCTACCTTACTTATTTTCACCTTGGGAAAGAGGTATTATCATCTCCTTTCCCAAATAGGGAAAGTTATTTCCAGAGATGAAACAACTCACTTCACACCCTATGTTTGCTGTTTACTGGCTCATAATCACAAACTGAAGAATTACAGAATCAGGTATATATCCTATAGATCTTCCATAATGGAGTTTTCACTTAAGTGTTTCATTAACATGATTAACTTATCTACATATTTCTTCTCAATTTAACTTCACTGATAAAAACAATCCATATAGATTTAATTCCACAAAATCATTTGTTGGCAGGAGATAATCTTAAGACAATGGTAAGCAGGGCGTTGGTGGCACACACCTTTAGTTCCAGCACTAGGGAGGCAGAGGCAGGCGGATCTCTGTGAGTTCGAGACCAGCCTGGTCTACAAGAGTTAGTTCCAGGACAGCCTCCAAAGCCACAGAGAATCCCTGAAAAAAAAAAAAAAAAAAAAAAAAAAAAAAAGACAATGGTAAAAGTCCTGACAATGTCAAGAGAAAGTACAGGTCTGTTCCATTGGGTTTTTTTTGTTTTGTTTTGAAGGGTTAAGCTGGGTGTGTTTAGATGCATACATTTATGTGGGGAAGTTAACCAAAGATGTCAGTTCCTCTGGAGCTATCCACCTTAGTTTTTTGTTTGTTTTCGGTTTTTCAAGACAGGGTTCTCAGTGTAGCCCTGTAGCCCTGGCTGTCCTGGAACTCACTATGTGGACCAGGCTGGCCTCAAACTTAAGAGATCCACCTGCCTCTGCCTCCCAAGAGCTGGGATTAAAGGCATTCACCACCACTGCCCACTTCACCTTTTTTCTTTCTTCTTCTGTTCTCTCTCTCTCTCTCTCTCTCTCTCTCTTTCTCTCTCTCTCTCTTTCTTTTTTGAAACATGCTTTCTCACAAACCTGTAGCCCACCAAATGGACTAGACTGTCTGGACAGGAAGCCCCAGGGATACCCCTCCCTCCTTCTCAGCAGTGGGATTTAAAGCATGTTCCAACAGGCATGCTTTTGGTGGGGAATGGCTGGGTAATGTGGGCTCTAGGAATCAAACTCAGGTCCTCAGCCTTGCATAGTAAGTGTTTTACCAACACAAACTATTTCCCTGGCCTTTTTTAAAGGTCAAGGTAGCCCCAATCTTTCATTAAGATTGGACTTTCAGTCACAAATGAAGAACTGCCTGAACTAACTTCAGTCTTTATTCAAATTATACAAGCCTAAATTCCAGCCAACCTGATAACTGAGCATCTTTCAAATGAAGAGCAGCTTTAAAAGGCATAAAGCATATAGTAGTACACACTTTTAATCCCAGAGCTCTAGAACTCTGGAAGCAGAGGCTGGAGATCTACACAGTGAGTTACAGGACAGTAAGAGTTACATAGGGAGACCTGCCCAAAACAAACAACAAAAACCACCCACAACAACCTCTAACCCTCTAACAAACTCTAACAGATTGGTAATACAAGCAGGTTCATGACCCCCTTTAGCCTTCTGCAGGTAGCTACGAGATTTTAGAGCTTTATGAAAACCCTCTTGAGTATATTCCCATTAGGAGATATGAAATAGAACAAAAATGGGTTCAGCCACTAAATTTTGTTGAGCCTCGGAGATCAAGGCGTTCAGAGAAACACATCTGTCCTGTACAGGGAATTACCTATAATCTGTATCCTGTGTTAGAGACGTAGAAGCCATTTAAGGGAAATCCATCCACACCAGGAATGAAAACTAAAAGCAAGAGTGATTATGATTAGGTCCTTAAAGCTCTAGTCTACCGCTTCCTACGAGGGTTGCCACCTAGTGATTTTAATTTTTCAAGCCCAGGCAGACTGCCAAGTCAACACTAAAACCGGACTAACAACTGATTTTTCCTATTGCAACATCACCAACTAGTCCTGTGTTTTCCCTCTGCCCTCAAACAGCACAGCAATTCTCACTGAAAATCAGCTAATTTGCTCTACAATCCCTTCCAACTGGAAGCACTCCTAGGGCTGCCACCAGTGTTATTCTTCTTGGCAATACCAACAGACCAAGTGGCCAGCTGAAAAAAGCCAAAGCAGGGAAAGGAAGAAAAGGTAAGAGCTAAAACCTGCAGCAACTGTGACTATAGTGTAACGAGCCAGTTCTGCATTTAGAAATCCAGCTGCCAAAGTTCTACTTCTTGGGCCCTGAACAAAACTCTGCCAAAATAAACAGCTACAGGTGAGAAATCAAATTGCACACGCATATGTAAACTCTGTACTCTGTATCCCAAACTTGACTCAAGGCCATGACCTTTCTCATCATCCAGTGCCCAGCTAGCATTAGGATTCACAGAAAAGGGAACTGTCAATCTAATCCAGCTACCTAACCTGACTTTCATTGACAGAATACCTTTAGCCACCTAAAGTAGCCTTCCACCAAACAGCTAAAGGTAGTAGAAATTCTGGATTTCTGTGTCCTTATCTGGCAGAGCCAAATAATCACACAATTCCTACAGAGTACACTCTTGGTTGTGACAATCTTACAGCAGCATCCTAAGCTTTTGCTTTAAATCCCACACAAACAAGAAAACGGGGATAAAATACTTTGATTTTTAAAGTTCAAATGTCCAGGCGTGGTAGGCCATGCCTTTGGTCCCTCTGCTTGGTGGACAGAAGAAGGCAGATCACTTGAGTTCGAGGCCAGCCTGGTCTACAAAGCTCATTCTGGGACAGTCACGGTTACACAGAAAAAAAATTGTCTCAAAAAAACCCCCCAAAACCCAAAATAAAATAATAATAATGTTCAAAATTCACTCTTTGCCTTAAGAAACCCAGGGTTCGTCAAGGTTTCTTCTCAAACTTGTGTGGAACTACTTTTCAATACTGAGAAGAACTCTTTCCTCCTGGGGTGCTTTCCAAAACAAGGTCTGAACTGAAGGGTCTGAACTGAAAAGATGTAGGTTAAATTTCCTACAGGTTTACTATGTCCATCATTTTGAATTGCTGTTCTTATTGCACCCAGGTTTCTAGAGGGGATCCAGTTCACTGCCCATTACAGGGAACCCCTAGATACTAGACTTTCTCAAATGTTCTATCCACCCCCTTCCCTCCTCTTCAGCAGCATCCACAATGTGGCAAGCAGGGAAGGTGGGCAGAAGCAACAAGAAAACTTCCCCAGGGTTGGGTACAAACTCCACCAGGGGGGCTGGACTCACCTTCCCGACAGAGCCCCATGACTTCGCGGTTTTTCCCAAACTCCTTGAAACTTTCATCCAATTCGGTCCCTAGGAGATACACACACACAGGAGGAGGGGAGAGGCAGGTCAGTGGCCAGGAGTGTGACGCACGATCACGCACGCATAGGGTAGGTGTGGGCACCTCTGCGTTCCACACCCAGCAAAAGATAGCATCTCTGACCCCCCAAGGGGGCGGGTC